CCGGTGTCACGCTGATAAAGGAAGTACTCGGTGCTTGGGAGGAAGCACAGGATGCTGTTGGTGTCTTTTGCGACCTCTCAAAAGCGTTCGATTGCGTTGATCATGAAACACTCTTGCTGAAATTAGATCATTACGGGATTAGACATACTGCACTCCGTCTACTAAAATCATATTTAGAGGATAGGCAGCTGAGAGTTCATGTAGGTGGTTATAACTCACAGGGCTCTGAGATAAGAATGGGCGTTCCACAGGGTTCAATATTGGGTCCGTTTCTCTTTTTAGTGTATGTTAATGACTTGCCATTTTTATTTAAAGCTGAGCCAAGTATGGTGCTATTTGCTGATGATACATCATTAATTTTTAAAATAGGTCGACGTTCTAATAATTTTGACGAAGTAAACAGCTCCATTCATCAAGTTCATAATTGGTTTACAGTCAATAATTTAGCACTTAACGAGAAAAAAACAAAATGTATTAAATTTTGCTTGCCCAACGTACACAGTAATGATTGTAGCATAAATTTAAACGGGCAAAAGTTAGAATTTGTCAACGAGACAGTGTTTCTAGGTATCACACTAGGCAATAGACTTCAATGGGGTTCCCACATAAAGACGCTTTCGGGGAGACTAAGCTCTGCTGTTTTTGCAGTTAGACAGATAAGACAGCTCACAGACGTGAACACAGCAAGGCTTGTCTATTTTAGCTATTTTCACAGCATTATGTCATACGGAATTTTGCTGTGGGGTCGAGCTGCGGAAGTAGAATCAATATTTATTCTACAAAAGCGGGCTATCCGAGCGATATATAACTTGCCCCGTCGCGAATCTCTGAGAGAACTATTTAAAACGATAAATATCCTGACGGTGCCTTGTCAGTTTATATATGAAAATATTATGTATGTAAGGAAAAATTTGCAATTATTTGAAAAAAGAAGCGATAGACATAATTTTAATACAAGAGGCAAAGATAGGCTGGCTGCTTCTGTGTAAATTGTTACAATAAAATTCCAAGTAATGTATTGAATCTTAACGAACGAAAATTTAAAACTTATATTAAACGTGAATTGTGTAGACAGGCATACTACAAACTTTCAGATTATATTGAGGATAAGAATGCCTGGCAGCATGTTGATTCGGCTCCACTGGACAATACTCAAATATAGTCAGCAGTTAGGTAAAATTCTCAAAAATAATGCATCCTTAATTTATATATCCAAAAAGTTTATATAGAAGCACTCTTAAAGATTGTGAGTACGCATATGTGAGCGCCATGTTCGAGACGACAAAGGAGTAAAATTTTATGATAGGTCCCCTCATCTGTTCTTTTTTTTAACAACTTGTCTCTGCATTGTTCTCACATAAGGGTACACTAATGTATACTATAAATGTTATATTATTGAGATTGTAAAACAAAATTAAAAAAAAAAAAAAAAAAAAGAGTAACGAATGGAGTTTCTTGCTCGTTCTTCTCCATTCGAATCTACAATTTGGAATGAGCACCTAGCTTCACTGACGAACAGACTGACAGACTACTTTTCTATTTTGACGTTTCAAAAGTACCTATTTATGGTTTAGTTGGAATAAATGATTTTGACTTTGACTTTGACTTTGACTTTGACTTTGACTTTGTACCCATTCCACCATACCTAACACTGGTGCTAAACAAACTTTAGGATTATAAATTATTGTTTTACAAGACTTGCTAAGACGTTTACGATCAGTAGTTACAATTGCAATTAAGACATCAGTTTAGTAACTGCGTTATTAATTTTTGTATGAACCTTAAAGTCACAGTGAATTCATTTATTTTAATTAGATCATTAAAGGTACTTTTGAAACAATTAATTTATTTATGCAAATAGGCCCGCTTACACGTCAAAATTGTATGTAAAAAACTAGATGAAGAATTGAACCTCAAACGTTATAATAATATATAGAATCCCATGAAGGACTTGTGTACTAAAGCAATCTAAATGTAATGTAATATATGCCTATGTCTAATATGTATAATAATAATAATAGTAAAATCTTTATTACTCAAAAAGGTACACAAGTAGCACAAGACATGCAGCACCAACATTCAGTAACACAAACATTTGTAAAAACTCTGGCCTCAGTACTAGGCAAATACCTGTATCACAGATGCCAACGTATGCCTAATTTGATAGTAATGTTTGTCGGATACTTTAACTAATAATATACATTTTAATTTGCTTGCATTCTCCTGATATAAATAACGACGCCGATTACTTATCAACAGCCTGCTTGTATGCCAAGAATATAAGTGTGGGAGAGCCAAGCTTCGGCACGAATGGGTCGGCTCAACCGGAGTGATACCACGGCCTCACAGAATACCGGCGTAAAACACGTGTTTCGCCGTGTGAGTGAGGTTACCGGAGGCCCAATCCCTCCCCTTCCCCTATCCCTTCCCAATCCTTATATCCGCAATCCCTATCCCCAAAGGGCCGGCAACGCACTCGTAACTCCTTTGGTGTTACGGGTGTCTATGGGCGGCGCCGTGCTTACTATCAGGTAATCCGTCTGCTCGTTTGCCGACTTATACCATTAAAAAAAATGCCGCCCAATGCTATAAAAATCATAATGTTAGTAAAATTCAAATTCTGTCAACTTGGAAGTACCAACTTATTTTGTGTAAACACATTTTGTTACGTAGCGTTTGACCCTGCCCATTTTTCTAACACTGGGCAGGGCGAAAGGGAGCGTCAGACTCTTATCGTCTAAAAACCACCCAGCCTCTACTCCTTCTCCAGGCCGAGGTCGCGATACATTATTGTGCTTCACACGCAACCCCAATATACTCTGCTCTGCTCTTATGTCAAGCGGCCTGAATCGGTGTCACGATTCTTCTATACTCTTCTTCTTGATCTTCTATACTCTCCGTTAAAAACGTTATTCTATCACGATCACTTGTCTTCAACTTAGTTGTAAGTGGCGATACATCAAAATCCAGTGTTCGATTACAAAAACAAATGTACTTGGATTCATTATGCATGCATATTGTTATTTATTTTTAAAATATGTTTTTAAATGTAAGGGTAGCACCGTTTAGTATATGGTGGGTTTGATCCATAAATTATTATGCCAAGCCCAGGTTAACATTCCGTAGGCCAGCATTAATTAAACAACAAGGAAAGAACTTATTTTTGTAAATAAGCCGTATAACAGCTCCATTACACGTCAACATCATATAATAAATGTAGATGAAGTCGGTATTTCCTATCTGACTCCTCTGATCTGAAATGCCGAAACAAACTCAGAGTTAATTTTTTTGCAGATGTGAGGATCAATTGCGATTCCATATAGCACGTATTAAATCCTTGGGAAAGTCCAAATTGATTCTTGACTTCACGGTTGCGTCAGGGGTGCATGCCAATTTTTTCATTACACGCCGTGGACAGAATTTAATTACTATTAAAATTACTAGTCACGCTGTTTGTCATCAAGACTATTTAGTTGACGTGATTAATGTATTTTCGATAAAATGGATGCAATTACCAAACGCAAGCCTATACTAATTAGACAGCATGATTGAAACAGTAATGCGTAGTCATAACGGCTCAAAGTTTAAGGCATCGACATCTCATGCATGACAATGCAAGTTCGTAATGTGGCAAGCACCAAAGTGTTGTTTTACAAGTTTTTTTTTGCAAAATTATTCAGACGCCATGTATGTTGAAAGAAAACCTCATGAGAAAATCTTTACTAGACATTGTACGTCTAATAAGAAGAATAATTGATACCGCCGTTCCGCCTAGCAAGCTTGGCTCTCCATGAAAAGAGACCTTTGCGTGAGCGCTTATAGGATAACTGAATAGGTTTTGACTACACGGTTGGCGCGGTGGCTGGGAATCTGGCTGCCGCGCAACGTATTGCGGGTTTGATTCCCGCACGGAACAACTCTTTGTGTGATCCACAATTTGTTATTCCGGGTCTGGGAGTGATGATGAGTGCGTGAAATTGTATGTTTACGCAATCACGACACAGGAGAAAATTCTCATATAATTACGAGGCAAAAAAAAGTATAAGGTTTGTGGTAACATTAACAGAACTATATCAAAACAAATATTTAAATATGGGTGTCATGCTTCGGCACGAATGGGTCGGCTCGACCACAGTGCTACCACGGCCTCACAGAAAACCGTCGTGAAACAACCACAGCGTTGAGTTTCGCCGTATGAATGAGGCTACTAAAGGCCCAATTCTTTTACCCCTCCCCCAATCCCTTAATCTCTGAAATCCTAATCACCAAAAGGCCGGCAACGTACTCGTAAAAGTAAGTAACGTACTCGTAACTCCTATAGTGTTGTTACCGTGGGCGGCGCCGATTGCTTGCCATCAGGTAATGCGTCTGTCTGCTCAACGCAACAATATTAAGAAAGTATGTTGTATACAAAAATTGTGTATAAACGACGGGAAGACGACTCTCCATATCATTCGTATTGAATCAAATCTGTTTTATATGGATACTGAATTATGTAATTTATGAACCCAGGTAAAAAAGTCGAGAAGGTCAAAGGTAACCAAGGAACACTATAAAAACTTTCTTAATAACATCGACTTGAAGATTTGTAAACTGATCACATCATCACCACTTAAAACGTGATGGTCAAAATTAACAAGAGAACTCAATCCAAAATCTTTGGATTAATAAACTGCAACTCTTGACAATAGTTGTATCGCGTTATGTCAAAATCCAAGATCAATACAAAAATTTAAAACTAGGGCAGTTTATTACTTTAAGAAGTTTCTAAAACTTGTTATTACTGTCTTAAATTGTTGAATAAATTGTAGTCGTCACCTGATTACACATTCACGTAGAATCATCTCTGGTCCACAATATTGCGATTGCTTTAAAACTAAACTCACAATGCAGACGGAGATGCTTATTGAAATCATTAGAAAATAAACGTTATTTAAATTTCAAAAATGTATTTCATTTTGTAAAAATAATAAACAAAAGCATCTAAAACTAGTAGTATGTACAATTCAAGTCTTTTTAGGTTTGCTATCGTCGGATTATGATGATTTGGCCGTGATCTACCACGCAGCTGTGTACGCAGCAGCTACTGGAGCTGAGTAGGCTGTATAGGCGGCAGGCACTGGAGCGGGGTAAGCAGTTCTGTAGGCAGGCACAGGGGCGGCAGCGTAGCGGGCAGCTACCACGGGAGCAGCGACTGGGGCAGCGGCCGCGTAGCGGGCGGCTACGACTGGGGCAGCTACAGGTGCGGCTGCGTAGCGAGCTGCTACGACTGGGGCAGCTACAGGTGCAGCCGCATAACGGGCAGCTACAACTGGAGCGGCTACAGGGGCGGTAGCGTAGCGGGCAGCTACGACAGGAGCAGCTACTGGGGCGGCAGCGTAGCGGGCAGCTACTACAGGAGCAGCTACTGGGGCAGCAGCGTAGCGAGCGGCCACGACGGGGGCAGCGACGGGAGCAGCGGCATAGCGTGCAACAGCAACGGGTGCGGGCACGGGGGCGGCTACAGGGGCGGCGGCGTATCGTGCAGCCACGACAGCGGGCTCAGCGACAACAGCCGGTGCTGCCGCAACAAGGGGTTCTTTGCGCACGACTGCGTTGAAACCGTTCACTGAGTCAGCAGTGTAGTCGACTACTCGGCGAGTGCCGTCAGAGTCCACCAAAGAGTATTGGCCCTGAACCAGGTCTCCGTTACGCTGCTCGGTCTGGCTCTTGTAGTCGCCGGTGAGAGAGTCAGCCACGTTGTACCCAAAGTTGTACTGTGGGAGCGGGTCGAACTCCTCCAGCCTGGCTGCGGCCACGGGGGCAGCGTATGCCACGGGAGCAGCGGCAATGGCCGCGGGCACCCCGCTACCGTGAGCGAGAGCCAAGAGGCAAGAGAGAACTACCAACTGAAAAGAAAAATAATAAAGTATCAACTGAAAATCCCAAAACAAAAGGACAAGTTTGAGAATTGATGTTAACACTAATGTCTTCAAAATGACTTCAGTAGTTTACGAATTTTTCACAAAACACTTATTTGAAATATTTTCACTATTCCACATTTCACTGTATAACAAACACTTCACATATCCTGTGGTCCGTACCTTGAATGCCATTTCTGAGGTTTGTTGTTGTAGTGTGTTCAGGGATGCTTAGAGCGGTGAACTGTACCCTTAGTACGAAACTAACGGCATTTATAGTGGCGGCCTATGCGCTTGCCTCATCCTGGTGGCATCTCCAAATTTAAATATATTCAAGTACGCACGTACGAGGCGGCCGCGGACGCTAGCATTGCAAGTCGTGGTGACAACGACGGTCGAACAATACCGCGTACTCTGTTATTGAAAAAACTTGCTATGTATACCCAATCATTGTTCACAACGACTTAAAGATACAAACAAAAAAACAACCAGCATTTCCTATCATAAAAACAGACAATTCATTGTTTAAATAAATTATATTCAAACTTTATATTTTCTCGCTGAAAGATATTAATTAGATATTATAAGATATTTAATTAGCGTCAAAAGTGCATGGATGTTATGTAAAATCGACGGGACTGAATCTTCGACCAAATTAAAATTAGTATTAATTATTTATTATTAAATTAAGTTGTTCTAATTAGCTTTATTTAAAACTAGCTTATACCAGCGACTTCGTCCGCGTGGAATAGTGAGTTCTGGCAGATTTTTGGTTTTACCTACATAGTTCCCGATATCATAGGATTTTTGGGAATATCTCCTTTTTAATTCCCAGAACAAAACTATCCTATGTCTTTTCTTGAATTTTAAACTATGTCTGTACTAAATGTTATGCAAATCGGTTCTGTAGTTTAGGTTTGAAGAACAGATTTACTTAAAATAAACACATAATTTTTACAGCAACACATTGAAAGAGCTCAAAAACCGATTATTTATTGGTTTTTAGCGCGCCACAAGACATATAAGTTCCTGGCAATCTTATTCTATTACTTATAATAAATCTGTAGATAGGTCAATTGCCATACACTGTTTTGGGTTTTATTGTCCTGTATAAAGTTCCCCTTGTAAAGTTTTGCTTATTTATTTTTCATGTACAGACAACAACTTTTTACCGTTTATTATACGTATTGACATTGATTATTATCTTGAAGTATGGCGTAGAAAAGGTGCACGCATGTACATTGTATATTGATTTCTATCATTCTTTTTTATTGAATAGATAATAACGTAAACCTATTTTAATTAGGGATAAGTGAGTATTATAAACGTAAGAATATACAAATATGTATAATCAGAATGCTCCGCACTACTGAGCTATCAGGAGTTACTCCTATTATTGTGAGTCAACCATAAAAGATAGACATATACTGTTGTAAAATATTTTGTAGATAATTTTATTTTAAATATTCACATGAGACATGATTGCTACGTAACTTTAACCGTTAAGGCTGCACACACGACATAAACTAAAAAAATGGAGTAACTTAACATTTCCCGTTGTTATTTTAGTATTTACCATTTCCAGAAAAAAAATTGCGATCAGAAAACTACTGAACGGGTCTAAATTAAAACTAACATAGAGAGAGATTACAATCTGGAATAAGACATAGTACGGAGGATAAAGCCGCTGGTAGTAATTTAGTATTTTGTATCTTATCTTATATGATATAACTAGATCATACCCTCGGCGTCGCTCCCGTCATTTGACTACTTATCCTACTCTTCCTACCCTACATACCCTACTTTACCTACCCTACTCTTCCTACTCTACCTACCCTACTCTACCTACCCTACTCTACCTACCCTACTCTACCTACCTTACTCTATGTACCCTACACTACCTACCCTACTCAACCTACCCTACTCAACCTACCCTACTCAACCTACCCTATAAGTGTGGGAAAGCCAAGCTTCGGCTCGAATGGGTCGGCTCGACCGGAGTGATACCACGGCCTCACAGAATACCGACGTGAAACAAGGTCACCGGAGACAAATCCTTCCTCTCCCCCAATCTAACCCAATCCCTAAATCTCCAAAACCCTAATCCCTAAAAGGTCGGCAACACACTCGTTACTCCTCCGTTGCGGATGTCCACGGGTGGCGCTGATTACTTACCATCAGGTAATCCGTCTGATCGTTTGCCGACCTATTCCTTAAAAAAAACCCTACTTTACCTACCCTACTTTACCTATTCTACCTAACCTACACTACCTCCTCTATCCTATGTCCTTCTCCTGGCTCTAAACTACCTCCTTGCCAATTTTTAGCTAAATCGGTTCAGCCTTTCTTGAGTTATAAGTGGAGTAACTAACACGACTTTCTTTTATATACATAAATAAATACCGACTGTACGGTTGGCGTAGTGGCTGGGCAACTGACTGCTGTGCAACGTGTCGCGTTTTCGATTCCCGCACAGAACAACACTGTGTGATCCATAAATTGTTGTTTCGGGTCTGGGTGGCTTGTGCATGTGAACTTGTATGTTAGTAAAGGCACCCACGACCCAGAAGAAAATCGTAAAGCGGGGCAACTTTAAAAAAATTATTAACTGTAATACAGTATAGACCCGCATTCGAAATTTCCAATCCCTCGTATTTTTTGCTTAAAATGCAGCGAAAATTCCTTGGCACCAACTTAAGCCGTGTGGCAACTATTTGTGTTGAATTAAAGATAAGATCGCGAGCTACGAATCGTTTGCACATTACTGATATATGAGTAACATACTCGTAGGACGAGCTTCGTCGTGTCGTTGTGTCTGCCAGAGCTTCTCAACTATAAGGATGCGAGTTCTAAACCTGGTAATTACCAATATTATTACGTTTCATCCGGTTCACTTGTTTTCTGTTTTATTTTGACAACATGGTTACAGAAATAATCGTGACGAAACCTGAAAACTTTATTTCGATTTATATGTTTTAATAACGCCAATCCGCATCGAAAGAGCGTGGGGAATAATGGTAATTCGTTCTCCATCTGGGAAGAGGTCTATACACAAGCACTAGAATAGTCACATGGTTGAAAATAGCCAATCAACCAATCAGCTTCCCCTAAAAATGTCCATCCCTAAACTAGAGCTGTATAGGAAAAGTTGTGCATATTCAGCGTCACTCATATTTAACTTTTTACCCAGATAAATTAGCGATCTACCGTATAAACCGTATTGTCGTGGTTTACGGGAGTGGTTGATTCAGAAGAGTTTTTCTTACTACCAGAGACTTTCTAAGTAACAACAACTTTAGGTATGCATTATTTAAGAACATTGTGTCATCGTGCTAATCTTCACATCTTCTTCATTCGTGTTATGTTTGACTAAAATTTTTTTTTTACTACCAATATTATTATTTGACTATATTGTTTGTGAGATACTTGATTTAAAGACATTTATAATTCAAATTCTTTCTTTTCTTTTTTAATTTATTTTGAATTGTTTCCAATAAAAATATAAATTGTAACTGGAGTAGTTACAATTTATATTTTTATGAGACATAAACTGTTACATATTTCTGCACCGATAACGGTAGTATATTATGTGGAACTATATTATTGATAAGATCTGTGTGCACTTTGTGCTACGAAATAAATGGTATTCTATAGCTGATGATTAATTTGGTAGCTTTGTAGGAAACTGCAAAGCAACGTTTTATATGTTTTGTCATGAGAGAAAGAGCCAATAGGCTTGACAAAATCCTAAAAACAAGAACTCAATTGTAATTACTCAGAAATAGCGGGTATCCATGGGCGATTAAGTTCTTACAGTTGAGCATAGGCCTCTCGAACAGAGAGATTTTTATCTATTAAACACTATGTGTGCTGAAGGCGGATTTGCGGTTTCAAAATTATAATTAGCAGTTATGATTCCTTTCCTCATTATATTTTCCTTCACCGCATGTCAGTAGCACAAAAAGTCTCGTTGGTAGAGCAAGTGAAAATTTACACTTGCCTGGTTTTAAACCCGTAATCTTATAAATAAGCCGTCCTTTGGTCACCTCATGTACACCACAAAAATTGCCCAAGTCATCGTAAGTCTGTTTAGGTACTTCATAAAAAAACATTCGGTTCTTTTGAACTCCTCTTCCTTCAGCTCGCGACGTGTCCATCGCTTGTAAAATAACAACTATTAAATAATGATCAGATTGATTAACTTATTTACCAGTACAAGCAAAGAGTCATGGCATCGGTTGTTGAATTTCAGTAGTTTTCAGTATTGCGCAGAGTTTGAAATGTGCTGGCCTTTTTTATTTAAACTTTTTTTTTATTTCAACTCATTTTCCCTTTAGGATGTCATTTTAAATAAAACTGATATAATTGAAATAAGTTGCAAATAAGGTGCTGTAATTAGAGATCTGTTGTCATGGAATTGTCATAGCGTTTTGATTGTTTGCTTGGTTAAATAAGGAATCTGATCCTTTCATGCTTTTGCGAATCAGATATTTTTATTGTTTACATACCAAAGTATATAACTGCCAAAAACCAAAGCGTATAGAATCCTGAACTACTTTCTATCCGAACCCGCTGTTTAGCTGTATTTTTATGGAAGGTTGCGAACTTTCCGTTATTTTAGAATTTTTATTCCAGATAAATATTTTAGACATATTAATTGAATGAATGGTCGTACAAGGTAAATTAAAATAATATAAAACGAAATATTTTGTTATGTACCATACCACGTACTACGTACCACGTATATAAGCGTATACAATTATACGCATTTGATTGTTATATAATTTAAAAAATATATATTAAATAAGTGCTATTTATTTAAGAAAAAAAATCATATTGCTATACAAATCAGGACCAAGTTGCTTCGGTCTTCGCTATCAGAATTTACACCGAGATTTCTATAACCGTATTTTCATGAGGATCAGACGCAGACGAAGCGTGTAATTCAAACAGTTTATTATTTTCATATTATGTCACAAATGTACCAACACTTACTACCATAATATTTAGTTGATGTACCTAGTATGCAAAGATGTTCTAGTCACTCAGTTAATGTGATGAGTGATGTATTGAATGCATTCATTTATACATTATATGCAACCTTCTTTTAGTTAAAAAAACAGTCAAAACCATAGTTGTTAGAAAAAAAACCATTAAAATCTCTCTCTTGAATTTATTTCATTTCGTAAAAAAACAAAAATACAAAATTATTCGTATATACACAACAAGTCTTTAGAGGTAAACAGGTATCATTGTACAAGAGTTTGGCTTTCAAGGGTAACGGTAGCCAGCGGCGGCTGATGATTCTACGATCTTAGCTGGAGCAGCACGGGCAGTGGAGGCCGGGGCGGGGGCTACGGCCGTGGGTGCAGGCGCTGTGTACGCTGCTACGGGAGCCGCTCTGTATGCAGCCACCAGGGGAGCACTGTATGACGCAGGCACTGCCGCTGTGTACGCAGACAATTGAGTAGCATACGGCACAGAGTAAGCAGAGGCGACCGGAGCAGGGAACGCGGCTCTGTAAGCAGCTGGTGCAGCTACGTAACCAGATGATACGTAGCGAGCGAATACAGGGGTAGGAGCGGCGGCTACTGGCGCAGCAGCTACGGGAGCTGCAGCTACGGTGGCGGCGGTGTAGCGAGCGTAGACCGCTGGAGCTGGAGCCGCGACGGCATTGGCAACAGGGGCGACGTAACGAGCGTAGGCTGGAGCGGCAGCAAATTTCGGAGCAGCAACAACTGGAGCAGCTTGAGCTACAGCTACGGGGGCGGCCACAGATGCGGCGGCAGCGGCGTAACGAGCGGGAACGACAGCAGGCTCAGCAGGGGCGGCCAACACGAGGGGCTCGTTGCGCACCACTGCGTTGAAACCGTTCACTGAGTCAGCAGTGTAGTCGACCACTCGGCGAGTGCCGTCAGATTCTACCAGAGAGTACTGGCCCTGAACCAGGTCTCCGTTTCGCTGTTCGGTTTGGCTCTTGTAGTCGCCGGTGAGAGAGTCAGCCACGTTGTACCCGAAGTTGTACTGTGGGAGCGGGTCGAACTCCTCCAGCCTGGCTGCGGCCACGGGGGCAGCGTATGCCACGGGAGCAGCGGCAATGGCCGCGGGCAGCCCGCTACCGTGAGCGAGAGCCACGAGGCAAGAGAGAACTACCAACTGAAAAAGAAATGATTAATTTGAAACATTACTCTTATTTTTTTTTACACTTATATTAATATTTGTTGTTTATAACTGATTTGATCACTGTTTATTATTATTAATCACTTTTCACATATCACTGTATTGCACTTCACTTCCAACATCCATTGGTCCGTACCTTGAATGCCATGTCTGGTGTTTGTGGTTGAGATGTGTTCAGGGATGCTGAGAGATGTGAACTGTACCCTAAGTTTGGCACTAACAGCATTTATAGTAGTTGTTGGAACGCTTGCCTCATCCTGGTGGCATCTCCAAATTTAAATATATTCAAGTACGCACGTACGAGCTGGCCGATGGGACGACTGGACAATGCCACGTAAACAATGCGGCTACTTGTGCAACACACTTGGCCTATGAAACATCGCGGTCACACCTATTCTTCGCTCAATTCACAAAATAACAAGTTTCAGGATTTGTTTTTACAATTTTAACGGTAACAATGTTTCTAAAAGGAATTATATCGGCGAAGTGGAGACAGATTGCATCACAAATGTTATTTGAATATTTTTCAATGCAGAGTTCAGAAGAGCTTCAAGGAGAACTTGATACATTTTCATATAGTGAAAATATATGTTTCTTGTATTGTTATAGTTACAGTGCCAATTGATAAATGATATATGATTGATCTTACGTACATACTACTGCTGACAGTGTGATACAAGGATATAAAACTGAGTAAGTATTTATATTGTAAACATTAGACTTTTCTACTATTGCTCACTTTATGTACATATACATAATAGATTTGCCGATTGATTAGAATAACGATAGTCATAGAAAAAAGTTTTTTTTTGGAAATAATAGATAATCATCAATGTAATTGCAAGAGTAGTCTAGTTTAATTCGGCGAATACATTTACGGAGTCGTCTGACAAACAAGTTCCTCCGACAAAACTTGTTACAATTACGAAATAATGTTTACAATGAACAAGAATTGTATCCTTTGATATTATTAAACTTGCTCATACTGGCTGTTTACATTATAACAAAATATCCTCAAGACAGCAACTTCAGAGATGATACAACCTATTCAGAACCTTCTTCCGTTTGGATGAAGATTGAAAATACGAAAACACTTCAGTTCATAGGAAGAATATTTTAAAAACTATTTCAGGAGCAAATGTTTAACTATATCTATAGCATTATGAATAAGGTTGACACTTATTTAAACGTTTTGTAAAATCCCACATTATTGTCTGTCTCTCTCATTTGCATGACAGAGAGAAGTTTTCTTAGGTGAATGTATTTGCAAGGACGGAGGTCGTGCACTATTTTGACTGACGGCTAATGGCGGGTCGTTAGCTCGCGACAAACTTTTAGCACACCATATTAATCTATCCTTTGTACTCTGCAACAGATTGTGACAACTAAACAAGTTTTTGTGTTCATTTCTTTTATTCGTCTATTTAGTAGTCGTTGCCTAATTGAATAAGCGATTTGTAATCAAAGTAAGATTTTAAGGCTTTTTACTCATTTACTTTGTGTTTTCTAGTATAGACTATTGAGAAATAGAACATACATAATTATGTAGATGAACAGGAAAAAAATTAAATTTACTTAATTTCAGTTTTATCCGCAACTAACAATGTGATGACATACTCGTGTTACGGAAACTAAAAAAAAATCATTTAAAAAGAAAATAAAAATTGTTAATAATAACATAATTAAAAGATTACCATTAAAACTAGGATCATAAAAGTGAGGTATAATTCACTATGATGCAATATCTGTTCATTATTTCAGTGTAGCAGCAGTCGAGGGCAGCCTCAACCAAGACACCCTTGAACTACCCTCGGCCCACGGCGCAGGCAGCTCATGAAAATGCGCGCGACGAAGACGACGTCCATTTTCCTGGCGATGGCGTGCGCACGCGCGTCCTTCACAAGGTTGCCAATTGTTGCGCAAGAGATCGGCGCGTGCGCGGCTCGAACTGCCAACCAGTGCGTTCCAATGGTTGATGAGTTGGGAATTTTGAGTGGCCAGTGGTTTTTTTGTCAGGGGAATATCTTAAAATGACTTCTCCCACCCAGGTTGAGGCGAGAGAGACTTTCAGGCTCCTACTGACTAAAAACCCCCCGTTCTTTCTCTTGACCACGGTGCCTCATTGCGCTTACCCCGCAACCCCGGCTGAACATCAGCCCTATAAGGCAATTTCTGTAATGTAGTGTAGTGTAGAATTTGTAGGTTCTACACTACACCAAGTTCCATAAAAATTGATTTATACATAAGTAAAAATAGAGCTGACACATTATGTCCAGACACAATGAAACCAAGGTAAGTTAAAGAAGATTTAAAGTTTCATGATATATGTATTCATTTTTTAAAGTTTCATGATATACCTGTATATGCTTATTTTGGTTCTTTCGTTGCAGTACACTACTTATATTTAACCACAGTGTAACAGGTCCTATGTTAAGACTCTATCTAATTAAGAATTCTATTGTTCTTCCATAGCTGTATTTTTGTCACCATTATCTTTAACACAAATCCTAAGCTGCTCATACCGAAACATGTCTCTTTATCATGCCTTAAGTATCGCACGTAGCGACGCGGTACGTTTCAAGATCACACTATGAATAAATGACCCGAAAACTAGTTATGGTGTAACTTGGGATTTTACTATGGACAATATGGACAACTGCTAATGGCAACTCTGTTCCGTTGTTATTTATATGTTGTTACAGTTTATGAATTACTTTACAGATTGATTTTCATACACATATTCTTTCGAAGATTAATAAGATTTCTATAATCGCAACGAAGCAATCAATTTCGATCAGTCGGCATTACCTATCTGATTACTCTGAGAAAAATAACTCAAAAAAAATTCAGAGGTTAGTCTCTTTTGAAGTCTGTATCACTACATTACATTATAAGTAAACTTTAAATCTCAATCCAGTACGGGTACCTATCATGTGAATACTGGCCAACCATATTAATATTAGTTCAGTATATATAAATCACCCACATTTACTATCTTTATTTATCTTTAGTCATCCAAAATAAAGAGCATACACATTCAATATAGTCACATGGGACATTTGCAAATACAACCTTTAAGATTAAATTAATATAAAGCATAATTTAGCGTTTTGCACCTACCAAAATTATATTACACATATAACATAAATTATTTCTGAAGTACATTTTAAACAAGTCATCTCATGCAATTCGTTCGTTTAAAGCTTGCGCAGACGATGAACTACAAACGGGGCACTTTTATATTAGCTTTAGCTACCACCAGCGGCTTCATCCGGATTTCCGGAATAAAACTGAACATATAATGTTCTATTCCCACCCAGAACAACTCTTTGCGTGATCAACAAATTTTTGATCAGGGTCTGGATATAATATGTATGTGAAATTGTATGTTTGTAAACGTACCCACGACACACGAGAGAGAATCCTAGTGTGGTTAAAATGTATGTTACCCCAAACCATAATACACGTATGTATCTTTGTGCCAAATCTCATTGTGGTCTTTTCATTAGTTTTCAGGTAAACTAAATGATAACCTCTGAATTTGATTAGAGCTTATATAGAAATGTTTCATAACCTTTTACGTCGACAAAACGGTGATGATAAAAAAAAACTGTTCGTATTTATGACACATACATACGATGGGTCTGACGCCTTGCATTAAAGCCCCGAAATCATGCTACTGATTTTGTTGCATGCTGCCAATAATGTTAAATAACTAATAAAGAGAAATTAAGTTTATTCAAATTCACAGTAATTTTTTTTCAAAATATCATATCTTTTTTTAAGGAATACAGTCCCACGTCTGCGCAGGCTGTTTTAATTAATTCGATTTGTCTCTGCACTGAGACCTGTGCACGAGTGTCCGACCTTTTCAGCGCGTGCGCCGAATACACTTGACATTAGCGTACTAGTCGTACAAATACGTACGCACAAATATTGCGACATGATTTATAACTATGTTTTATCGATGATGACTCAGTCGCTTACATTAATGTTGAAGACGTGTAAGAAGTCATTTAATTTCACTTATGATATTAGTGGCTTTTGATAGTTTGCATGTGGTTAGTAGTTTAGGATTTCTATCTCGATCCTAAGAATTTCAAAAGCGAAACCAAACACAAGATCAATTACTTTAATATTTGTACACTTGTTAAATTTTTTAGTAAAAAAAATCAATTTGAGAATTCTTATATAAATTAGAATTAATATTACGCAAAACACTTTTGTCGTATTATTGTGTAACGCGACGCAGGTTCCGCAAGGAACTAGTCATTGCGTTATAAACATATTGTTGTTCCCGGCTTTGAAGTTCAGTGTAGTTTGTAAACATGACCACGACTTAGGAAAAATACCTAATGATGTATAAAGACTTTTTATAAATTATACATTTAACATTTAGGTGATCTGAAAAAATGAGTTTTACGCGTTGATGTCTTTTCTTCGTAAACATAACATCAGGAAAATTATATATTTATTTACCAGTACTATAATTTTATAAGCTTTTTTGTTAACTTAAAGAAATATTAAGTTTTATTTATGTAGATATCAAATTTCTAGATATAACTTAAATTTTAATTTTATTTTCTCAACAAAATCTTTTGAGTGTAACGAGATAACATCCTGAAATTTGAGTAGATTTTTTTAGTTTCGAGCATCATATTTCTAATTGTCTCACATTTATCGTCAGGCCATATTATAAAAACTGATAAAAACCTACCTATTGTTCTAATTCGTCCTTACACCAACTTATTTCAGGAAATTCATATATTTATAGAAATAGTTATCATTTATTTTGAAAAGGTTTTATTAAAAGCTTAACCTCAATGAACTGTTTCAAATGTGGTTATCATTTGTTCTGCAAGAGAGGCATTCATGAGTCTTTATATTTCTGATGTAATTCTATACCTGTACTTTGAAGTGAAATGTCCTTGGCTCAATGGTCCAATAAAGTTTTGGTGCTCAATGAAAAGGAACGAAATAAAAAGAAAACCAATGTAACTTGACCCTCGAAACCAGACAGGAAACGACCGCTCTCCTATAATTACGGAGGTTAAATTTATCAAAGTTGAACAGGTTAAGGCTGTGTGAATTTGCACTCATTAAATCATTGCCATTTACGAGTATTCAGTATTTGCTAGAGTAATTGGTAACTGATTGCATTCCCACGCATAATCCTTAATCAATCCTAGTTCAGCTTCGTGGGGATCAACTTA